AAAAAAAAAAAAAGGCTTTCATTTCTGTTTTTGATTTCCTACCTCCTCTTGCCAAAATTTTGAGGCAAAATATCAAAGCAATTCAGGTAATGAAACTGTGGTGACCTTTGACACTCTCTAAGTTCCATTGCAGTATTTTCCTAACTGGCCTTCCTGCGTATGGTCTGTCCCCACTCTAGTTCTCCTTGAAAATGAATGCTAAGTGGATTTTCCTAGTGTATTGCTTTTATTTGTTTTTCCCAGTCCTCACTGGCTCTCTGCTCCCAACCAAATTAAGTCTCTCAGTGTAGACCCAGCTTACCTTCTGACTTTTCTACATGAGCTTCGCTTCGTACGTGACACACAAGAGTCTTATTCAGACAGGCCTTGTATTGTCCTAACTCAATTAACAGAGACCAGCTGCCCTGATCTTACCTATTAAAATCTTATTTATGCTTCACCACCCAGCTCAGGCAGAACTGAGGATAACAGAGGACAGGAACTGTTGAATTACCGTGGCCAAGTGTTCTCTATAATATGGACGTCGTAATCCTTACATCGTGCAGTTACGGCATAAAGCAAATAGATAGTGTTTGCTAAGTTCTTGGCACAGTTACCGTCCCTCCCATTTCATCAACATTGATGAACCAAAATGCTTTCTGTGCCCCCCCCCATTCTGAAATTCACACCAACTGTAGTTTATGTAAAAATTTATTTGACCAAAATGTAGAAAAAGTGATACTATTACATATGATACAGTTCGCAAGAATGTAAAGTGTGGGTTTTATTCCATTGCACAGTCTGCTAGTGTATCTCCTGGGTAGTGTGATGCTTAATAAATAGGAGCGAGGGGCAGGGGGACTCAGAGAAGCTGGAAGCAGGGGGATTTTTATTCAGAATGGTAAACCGCAGTTGGCCCCGACATTGCTGGGGATGTGGAATGTTTCAGCTCTGAGATGTCCACTGAGAAAGCAGAAATACAGCAAAGCTAGAATGTGCAGCCCTGTCTACACGATACTCCATATCCAGTTTAACCAGGAGCGTCTTGGTCTTTTAACTTGGTCCCAAAGAAGGAATGAAAGTCTCAGGTAAGTAAACCTTCAATTCGCCATTCCCTGAAGTAGGGACATAAAATCAATGACCTCTTTTTATCCCTACTGTGATTCCAGAGAAGTCCCTTCTACAGAATTTTGTGAATGAATGAAACTCTCTTTGCTCCATGTATTGATGGCGAGCAGCCGTTCTGATCTGAAGAGGACCGAACGCCACCATATCCCTGCTGAATGGATGGCCTTAGAGCAGACAAACGGGGGTCCATAAAGGAATACAACACATGCTCTTCAGAGAATCACTTTGAAATGAAAGAAATATGCGGAAGAGCCTAACAGGATCTATCCAGAAAATGTCTGGGTAGTTGCGGCTAATTCCTAAGCATTCTCATGCCGACTGCTCAGATGTTTGTTCTGCAGAGTGGAGGGCGGAGAAGGGCCAGAATGATCACGTTTATCTGAGGTTTATGACTTCCCAACATAGTCCCCCCACTTTTTTTTTTCCCCCACTCTGGATGGAAAATTCCCACTCATTTAATGTAATGGTCCACAGCCTTCTATAGGCTGTCGTTTGACCAACTGTGACCCCAAGGTTATATTCTTCAGCGTTTTAAATTGATCTATGCTAAAGAGCAGAGTCTATTCTTGAAAGTGTGGGATGGTCTCTATTTTCCTAGGAACCAGCTGCCCTCAGTCTGATGCTCACTATGAAATACCCTGCCTACCTCAGGAATAAATGCAACTTAAGGATAATAACAGAGCTGAAAAAGCTGGTGCCATTGGAAAGAAGGAAGGAATTCGATTTAACTGGTGCTCAAAGCTTCTCAGATACAAAATATTTGGTCATGTGTTCAATAATTTGCTTGACATTTCCAGCAAAGCGAAGATGCAATAACAAAAAAAGAAAAAAAAAAGAACTTCTTATAAGAGAAGAGAAAGACACGGAGCTCTGGCGTTTGTGTTGGAACAAGACTCTTCTGTTTTGGTTATATACAATTAAGTTCATTTAGTGTCTGATCCAGTGTCTGATGTAAGCCCACGTTCTCTTCTTTGGCCTGGGCAAGTTTTTCTGGTGAGGATTAAGAGTAGGGGGGGAAAAATAAATTAATTAGCCATCTTTGTTAAAGAAAAAAAGAAAAAAATTCTAAACCTCGTATCGCCAGATTGAAAGTCATAGCAGAGGGAACCAGCAGTTAGCATAATGGCTATGTTGTTGGACTCCCACGTAGTCGACCGCGGTTCGCGTCCCGGACCCGGTGGCTTAGAACTCACACCGGGCGCATGTGCGTGCGTGCTCAAGATCCCGAGAGGAGAATGGAGGAGAAGGGATTGTGGCGTGACCATCCCCCCTGGGGGGTGATTTCTTGCTTTCTGTCTCTATGTCTCTCTTTGTCTGGCGAGCGCATGTGCCCTATAGCGAAAACCTCTCCAAAAAAAAAAGTCATAGCAGAGAAAATGGTTTGCATTTTAATTACAGCAGAACACCATGGAATAATAGGGAGCAGGTGCCAAAGTTGGTAGTCAGTTACAAGGTAACAATAGGGTACCCAGTTAAATTTCACACAAACCACAAATATTTAAGCATAAGTATATCCCAAATGTTGCATGAGATATACTTGTGTGAAAAAATATATATATATGAATTGCCTATTTGAACTTCAAATTTAACTGGTATAGTATCTTTCTTGCTGAATCTAATAACCCCCAAGTCAGGATGCCTGGATTTAAGGCTCATTTCTACCACTGGAGGAAGTCATTGAACCTTTCTAGGTTTCAGCCCCCCCCCTTTATTTTTTGGAGAGGTTTTCGCTATAGGGCGCGTGCGCTCGCCAGACAGAGAGAGAGAGACATAGAGACAGAAAGCGAGACATCACCCTCCACGGGGGATGGTCACGCTGCAATCCCTTCTCCATTCTCCTCTTGGGATCTTGGGCACGCACGCACACGTGCCCGTGAATTCTAAACCACCGGGTCCGGGATGCGAACCATGGTCGACTACGTGGGAGTCCTACGACATAGCCATTACGCTAACTGCTGGTTCCCCAGTTTCCCCCCTTTTTTAAGTGGGGATTGCAAAACACATGTGTGGAGAAGGGTTATGATAAGAAACAAATGAGAAATGCTTCAGAACCTATGAAGTGATACACAAATAAGATTTTAGTCCTCGATTTGGGTGATTTAATACACTTTCCCCCCCTCGTGTCAGAGAATTAGTCCTTGAACCTTTGGTAGGAAAATAGTACCCTGCCACCCAGCTTTCTTTTGGAGCTTCTGGGAATGGCTGTTTAAATCCCGGGCATAATTGTATTATTGTGTCTGTATATTCAGCACAATGGCGTTAAGCCCCAGGTAAATGCAACATGATTGAAATTTAAGACAGACTACAGGCATGATAGTAAGTGACTGAGTTCATGAAAAAAATGAAAAAACAAAACAAAAAACACTTAGAGCTATGCATGACAGAGCACTGGTTTGTAATGAGTGATGGCGGATAAAGGACAAAGCCAAGACTCATTAAAATACTGGAGGAAGAAAGCAGAATGCGTCATGAAAATGTGATATGATCAACCTGGAAATTTTCAAAAAGGAAAAAAAAAAAAAGGGTGTAGAAGATGGCAACCTTTGTACCTCACCGAACCTTTCATTTGTTAAGGCATTACAAAAAATATTAAGTGACTATAATCTGAGAGGATTCCATCAGAGAACAGTGACCTGGGCCTATCCAATTTGAATGAATCGACGTTCACTAAATATTATATATAAGCTAATTTCTCTATTATCTCGTTTAATCCTCAATAACTAGAACATCACTTTTTTTTCTTTTTTCTTTTTTTTTTTTTTAAAGTTTTTGCTATAAGACATGTGTGCTCCACAGAGAGATAGGAGAGAGGGAAAAGTGAGAACTTCCCCAAGGGAAGATGGCCACACTTAATTCCTTCTCCTCCATTCTCCTCTCTGGGGATTTTGGGCACGTACACACACCAGGCATGATTTTCAAGCTACCGGGTCTCAGATTTGAATGGCACAGCCTGCCAGGTGGGATCCAGTGCCTTAACTACCACGCCACCTCCTGGCTCAAGACATGGCTTTTATTTTGCAAAAAAACTAAGCAATTTGTTCAGGGTTGCACAGCAAAACCGAAAGAGCCAGGATTTAAACTTGGGTCTCTTGACTGCAAATCTCGACCTTCCTTTTACCTTGTCACTCGGATTCCCTGGGATCTGTTTTGCTATTAGGTCTGAATAAACTAGTTTTCCCCCAAAAGTATCAATTACCCTTGGGGACTGTGACAAGGCTTACAGCCTATCAGCAGGCAGCGAGTAGCAGAACTCCATGGCACTCATCTGTGTAAGTGAAGTTCCGCTTCGGTGTTTGGGTAGGCGGACTGACTAGCTAGGCAGAGCTGCAGAGTTATTTCAAAGGGTGGAGACTTGAAATGTCTGGAAAAACCCTGGGTGCAAACAGAGCGCAAACAGCACTCCCTCACACAGTGTGTAATCGGAGGGCATATGTGTGACAGTGTGTGAAGGGAACTGATTATGCAAAAGTCCAGTCAGGAACAAAGCAGTTAGGGTCGGAAAAGTGTGGGTCGTTTAGGGGAGGTGTATTTTGGAAGAATGAATACAAAGAATTGGGATAGGGGTTCCTAGCCAAATAGAAAAGTTATAGAATGAGGAATAACAAGTATCAGTGACCAAAAATTGATCATCTAATTGGAGATTTTTTTTGGGGGGGGGGAAAGGTTTTTGCTCTACGGCGTGTGCACTCGCCAGAAAGACAGAGACAGACAGAAAACGAGAAATCGCCCCCCACCCAGGGGGGATGGCCACGCTGCAATCCATTCTCCTCCATTCTCATCTTGGGCATGCACGCACACGTGCCCGGGCGTGAGTTTAAGCCTCATCTTGGGCATGCATGCACACGTGCCCGGGCATGAGTTTAAGCTGCCGCTGCGTCCGGGACTCGAACCACAGTTGACTATGTGGAAGTTCATCAACATAGCCATAACGCTAACTGCTGGTCCCTAATTGGAAATTTTCATGCCATTTCCTGGTTCAAGGGCTAATTTAGGAGATGTGGCTTCATCATCAAAATATATGTTTCTAGGATAATTTGAGGTAACGGTTGTGTTGGGATGCAGGGGAGAAGTTGGATACTATTTCTAATTTGGATTATCCTGGAAAAAAATCTATGATTTTTGGTCACTGTAAGCATGGCCTTTTAATACCCACAGGCCAACTTGATGAATTGTTCTTAAACCAAAAAGTTCCTGGTTATAGTTAAGTGTGAAGGGATATTATATTTCAAAGTCTTAGGCAGCTCTGTCTGAAACTTGGGAATCACCTCACTTTTGTTTGTCATCACAGTCACCTCCACTCCCTTTCCTGGTTAATGGGATGCTCTTTAATTCCTTGTACCGTTTTCTAAGGGCAGGAAATAGAGTTGAACTTCCCTGGTGAACTTCCTCCCAAGACTGGGTGCTGGATGAGTGTTTCATAAACAACGAAGACATGGGAAACCCAGCCACCATTCACAGAGTGTACCAGAGAAAACAAGTGTGAGAAGGTAGAACGAGGAGACCAAAATGCCATTGCCGCTGTTTGAATTCGTAGCTCAAGCCCTACTCAGGGTAGCCTCATTTTAGACCTAGGCCTTCCGGTTTTTGCAAGTCCTGCTAACTGTTAAGCTGCCTAAGAGATTTATAGGGATGAGTCCCATCCAAAACGATTTCTATTTAAGGCATAACTACTGGCATGAAGTTTCAGTTAGCTAATGCCGCTGTGTTTAAGATCTCATGCCAAAATGACTTTTGTTTTCATGTCTTCAAAAAAGAATCATGTGGGCGTAATTTTTTCTTTTCTTTCTTTTTTTTTTTTTTTTTGGAGAGGTTTTTGCTATAGGGTGTACGCTCTTGGCAGAATGACAGAGACAGACAGAGAGACAGAAAGCCAGAAATCATCCCCCCGCCAAGGGGGATGGCCACGCCACAATCCCTTCTCCTCCATTCTCCTCTCGGGATCTTGGGCACGCACGCACACGTGTCCGGCGTGAGTTTAAACCACCGGGTCTGGGACTCGAACTGCGGTCAACTCCATGGGAGTCCAGCGACATAGCCATTATGCCAACTGCTGGTCCCCTGGGCATAATTTTCTTATTGTGAGTAAGAGAAGGCTAATTGCCCACTTTTTATTCTGACCACGGTCAAGGGCATCACTGCTAACGGTTCAAAGGCGGCAAGTGGAGAAAATGAAAATGAAAGGGCGTGAAAATGAGGACCGCCTATCTTTATTTCAGTCACAGAGTCGACAGACACATCAGAAGAAGACTTGAGAGATCAAACCAGGAGGCAGGCAACCGGAGCTCCGAGAAGCCCATGGGAGCGTAGGCACCACAGCGAGAAGGCAGACTTCGGTATTGCTAGCGTACAGGGTAGCACCCCAGTTGCCTCTCAGAGAGAGGTCATGTCGTTGAGAGCATGGTCCAGCTCCTCGCTGATAGCTTTATACTTGAGCTTCTGAGCATATAGCTCGTCTACAGGGCGGAGGTCCCCGGGGACAGAGTTGAGAAGAAGAGGTACAGGGAACGGAACGTGAGGGACGGCATGGAGTACCACAGATGAGCGATGAAAGGAAGAAAACAGAAGTGAGAAAACCCAGCAAGAACCAGGAGGAATTGCGTGCGATGTAAAACAAAACAGAACACAACCTATGGAGTGATTTCTGAGTGGTTTGAAGTGCTGTAGGAATCAGCAGCCCTAAAGAACCTTCTAAAGAATGCCTAGGAACAGAGCTTCCACCACCACTCCCAATCCCCACCCTCAAGTTATTTCTGAATGCCAGTGTCACCCAGACCAAAGGTTACACTCTGGAATGAGGTTACACTTTGGAATGAGCTTTTTACCTTATATGGAAACCTCACTTCTCAAGCCAAACACTGGGACACATGGTCTGAAGAGTGCGTTTGTGAACCCTTTTGAGTTGGAATAAGCAGTTCGGGAGATTTCCTTTGAACCTCAAGAGTCTGGAATCTCTGGGCTCGATCATAAACATGGGACAGAATTTTTCAGAATTGGAACTTTTCAAGAAATGCTGGGATAAGCTTTGCGCTCCCTGGGAGAGAGCTTATGTAAGAATGCAAGGCATTTTTAAGAAATGGAAGGCATCTCTCAGAGATGAGTGCATTGAAGGAAATTCTAGAGACTTTTTTTTTTTTAAATCAGAGAGCCATATTTGGGTCTCTGTTACTCACATGTGGAACGAATTAAACAAAGACTTCCTGAAAATGGCAACTCGAGTCCGAATTTGACTGGCACTATCCGATTCTGGTGCTCCAGGCTTCCAGATGTGCACTCTATCTCTTAAGGCAAACAAAGGCCGACTCGCCCCTTACACAGACTTCTCCAACCACCTAGAGATGTGTCAGGTAGTGGGAAGCACAGCACACACACACACTTAAACGCGATTCATTTCATACCTTCCAGGTCATCGATGGTCTTTTCCAGTTTGGCAACCGTTCTCTCTGCAAATTCGGCACGGGTCTCAGCCTACACGAAAAGAAAGGAGTCACTCCCACGGCCTGAACACCAGCCCCAGGAGAAACGGAACTCCCCGGCTGTGACCACACTCACCTCTTTCAGTTTATCAGAAAGGAGTTTAATTTCTTCTTCATATTTGTCCTCCTTTTCAGAATACTGTAGGAGAAACCAAAATATGGCTTGAAAAAGAAAAACATAAAAGAAGGCGGGATCCCTGTTGCTCGGAGACAGATCTCACTGTAAACATGCCTAAAAAGTGAGGTCTGCTTTGTCAGGCACCTTTCCAGGCAGATGAAAGGAAATACAAAATGCAGAGAATCCGGGGGAGTGCTCTCTAGGATGGTATCATTCTGAAGGCCTGAACTGATAGAGGTAAAAGGATGATGATGGGGCAGATAACTGGGACCAGCAGATGGCGTAATGGCTATGTTGTTGGACTCCCACATAGTCGACCGCGGTTCACGTCCTCTTAAGAACAACAACAAATACTACCTAAGGCCTTTCACAAAATCTGGCCCAATCTGTGTCTACAACCCAATTTCCCACCAACTTCCCGAGGGTGATAGCCACTCCTCGAACATATTCCATATGCACTCCAGTCTCCCAACCTATGTTCATAAATGTCTCTCAGCATGGAACATTCCAGTTCCAACAGAAATTACATATATATCTTTCAAGGCTCAACTCAGATTAATACTAACATTTATTAACCACTTGCCGTGGCCCACGGCATCACAGAGAGATACCCTGCATCCATCCTAGTTTACAGATAAGGAAAAGGTCACAGGAAGATGACGTTATGTGTCTAAGGTCCCATCGCCATGAAGTGACAAAGCCGTGAATATAGTCGGACTTGCATTTGTACTCTTGGCCATTGCCACGCACTGTAGCCTTTTAATTTTATTTTTTAATGAACTTACTTTTAGTTTTTTGTCATATGGTGCAGGCACTCAACAGAGATAGTGAGAGGGAGAGTGAGAAGTCACCCCCCGGGAGGATGGCCGAGCTGCAATCCCTTCTCCTCCATCCTTCTCTTGGGATTTTAGACATGCGTGCACATGCACCGGGTGATTTTCAAGCCGCCAAGTCCAGGACTTGAACCTCAGTCAGAGATGTGGGATTCCAGCACCTTCACCACCACACCACCTACTAGCACCTAGTACAAGCTTTGTAAATGTCACCTCCTCGGTGACACCTTTCACAACTTATCAAAGCTCTTGAAGAGCGGGTGCCATTATCACTATATCTTCTGTCCCCCTAACCTAGGGAAGCATTTGGCATGCACACATGAACTGCATAAACCCATGACATACTCTGTCCGAGAAGATGCCAGACACGGTGCCAGTACAAGGGACACAGCTCTCAACAAGGCAGATGTGGCTCCTATCCTCAAAAGTTACCTTCCAGCCGCCACTTCTCAGAAGTGATGCTTAACCAGAGGCTTAAAGACTAGATAGGGGCTGGGGCCAGCAGGTGGAGTGCTGATTAAAAGTGTTGGACTCCCACATGGATGACTGCAGTTCGAGTCCCAGACCTGGCGGTTTGTTTTTTCACTTTCTCTCTCTTTATCCCTCTCTGGTAAAATGAAAATAAATAAATAAATGGATAAAGAGAAATAAAATAATAATTTTTAAGAGGTTTTTGCTGTAGGGTGCGTGTGCTTGCCAGAAAGAGAGATAGAGAGACAGAAAGTGAGAAATCACCCCCAGGGGGGATGGCCACACCGCAATCCCTTCTCCTCCATTCTCCTCTCAGGATCTTGGGCCACGCACAAGCGCCTGGCGAGAGTTTAAGCTGCCGTGTCCAGGACTAGAACTGTGGTCGACTACATGAGAGTCCAGTGACATAGCCATCAAGTGAAATCAAATAATTCTTAAAAAAAAAGAAAAAAAAAGAATAAGGGTTAGGGCGCCAGCAGATGGTATGGTGTGGCTAAGGTGTTGGGCTTCCACGTGGCTGACCACAGTTCGAGTCCCAGACCTGCAGGCTTGCTTTCTCGCTCCCCCTCCTTGCCCCATATCACTCTGGTCAAAATTTAAAAAATAATAATAATAATAAATAAGATTTTAAAAAAAATTAAAAAAAAAGAATGAATAGGGGTTTATTATCAAAAAGAGTAGAGGCTGTGCCAGGCTGAATGAACAGCAAGTTCAAAGAACTGGAGGTGATGGGGGAACGCAGAATGTCTGTGACAATTTCAGTGCAACTGGAGGGGAGGAGGAGGAAGAGTAAGGAAGAGATCAGGCCGGTAAATTCAGCAGGCTGGGCCACAGAAGAGTATGTACGCTGTTAATACAGTTCTATCCCATAGTGAATGCTTTGGATAATGTTTCTCTTCTCTCTTTTTTTCTTTTGCTTGCTTGTTTTTGGCTACAGGGTACATGCACTCACTAGAGAGACAGGGAAAAAAGAAAGCATCCTCCGATGGGTAATGTCATGCTGTAATCTCTTCTCCATTTCTTCCTTCCTTTTGAGATTTTGGGCATGCACACACATATACTCAGCATGTTTCACTAGCCTCTTGATCCAGGACTTGAACCACACCGTTGGCCATATGGGACCCAGCTGCCTTATCCACAAGGCCATGGGATTGGCCCTGGGTAATGTTTGAGCCTAAAAAGTCAAATCCCACTTCTACCATCTATTGCTTGATCTCTGAGAAAGTATTCATGTTTCTGGAAGAACCAGGGGATTCAGGTGAGAGTGATGCTCTGTATTTATTTATTCATTCATTCATTTTAATTTGACCAGAGAGAGAGACACACAAGGGAGGGGGGAAGGGGAGTGAGAAAGTCAGTCACCAGGTCCGGGACTCGAACCATGGTCAGCCATGTGGGAATGTCCAGTGCCTCAACCACCATGCCAGTTGCTGATCCCATGAGGCTCTGTATTTATATGATTATGCTCAGCTCTCTCTAATAGAAGCCTCATATTCCTTCTCCATCCTCAGGAGGAGGAGCGAAGAGAGGGTGCTAAGCCTTCATGCAAGAGGACCCAGTAGCCTGCACGAGAAACCCAGCCCCTGGACAGCTCTTTCTGTAGAAGAAGAAACTCTGCCTGCTGGGCACCAAAGCTAATGTTAAACCAATAAAATAAAGGTCTAATTCCTGATACCCTGGCACATCCCCTATACCTGGAGGGAGATAAAAAGAACAAAGCCCAGCAAGTGACTCTCTAACTCAAACCAATCACCAACCTTTTCAGAGGCGGCCTCGAGCGACTTCAGGTTATTAGTGACATTCTTGAGTTCTTCTTCCAGGTCACCACATTTTCTGCACAAAGACAAAGGATTTTTCTCCCTTACACAGGCCATTGCCCCCTAAAAGACGTTTTTTAAAAAAGGAGAAATCTATGCTGCCGGGCCCCCAGAAGGAATGCGAAGGGAAAAATGTCAATGGATTTTTCTGGGCCCTAATACCGTGTACTTATCAACACCCTATCATACCAAGCATAGGCGCGGCAAGCCGAGGAGTACTCGGAGGGTTTGTAAAGGACTCCTGGGCTCCTGCCAAGAGTGAAGCAACAGGGAACTTGCGAAACCTATGACTGACGAGGCCTCGGACTCTGGAAGGTCTAAGAATGAGCTCGAGCGTAGGAGGCAGGGAGACAGTGATCACCCTCCACACTGGACGCTCCAGGAAGCAAGCGCAGAATGGACCTGTGAAACCAGATCGCTCCCGGCGCTGCAGGATACTCTGTGGGGCTGAGTTCTTCATCGACGACCAAGAATTCCCAAGGCCAAGCAAGGGGAGAGGTGTTTTATTTGGAGCTTGTGGAATCCTGGTCAAGCTCCTCACCTTCCTCCACCCAGGAATGTGCCGTAGCCAGACGCTGACGTCAGGGACGAGGCATTTAAGCACGGATGGGGCAACCTCCCTTCCATAGGTCGGTATTCTGCTAAGAAGGTACAGCCTCTCTGGGAAAATGGAATTCCTGGGCTTCTCTGCTACCTACCACCTGTCTCACCTCTATTTCCTAATATCCTGTGGGAAAAGTCAACATGTGGGCGCCAAGTCCCAGGGCAATCAAACCACCACCAGCCATGGAAACAAAGAGGGAGGATGAGCCATGAGTCCTGCATACGCGTCCACTTAAATAGACGGCCCCAGTTCAGGTCGATTCTCAACACAACCAACTCCCTCCCACTCCGTCCCAGGAGTTGAGCCAGGACCCCTCCTGGTCCCGTTCAGCCACTCACAGTTCAGACACCTCCGCACGCTCCTCTGCCCTTTCCAGCTCGCCTTCCAGGATGACCAACTTACGAGCTACCTGCAGAGACAGAAAGACCCGACTGAAGTGGACCCGGCAGCCACGTCCAGCGTGGCCCCGTCCGACCCAGACCGTCTGCACGGTGGGGCTTCCTGCTGGTTCTTCATCTCAAACAGTCTCAGGACCCTACAGGAAGTCCCCAAATTCTCTCCCTTGGGCCCCCGGAGTGAGGCAGATAAGAAGAGTTGAGTTTTGGCCTGAAGATTCACAACTTAGGATCACAAGCCTCCATTTTTGGCTAAACTGCCCAAACACCCAGCTGGAGGGCAAAAGTGAGTCGAGTCATTATTTTTCACACCAAAGTTAGACAAGTGCCCACAGAACGTTCTGGCCTTGCGGGAGAGACGGTTTCCTGGCCAAGTAGCTGTCTCTGGAAAAACAGATGCGCGCACAAAAGGACAGCTGACCTGACCAAGAGCTTCCTTTAGGCGACCCCACAGTTCTCCCTATCCGCAGGGCCACTTCCTGCCACTTCCTCCCACTTCCTGCCACCGCCGTATCTCCCCCGCTCCACTCACCTCCTCGTATTTGCGGTCGGCCTCCTCGGCAATGTGCTTGGCCTCTTTGAGCTGCATCTCCTGAATCTCCATCTTCTCCTCATCTTTCATGGCCCGGTTTTCAATCACCTTCATTCCTCTGCAAAGAGCACCGTCACCGTGACCACCCTTCACTCAAACACCTCCACCCAGGGCATGTGCTCATCGAAACACGTCTCAGTAGTCGACCGCGGTTCGCGTCCCGGACCCGGTGGCTTAAAACTCACGCCGGGCGCGTGTGCGTGCGTGCCCAAGATCCCGAGAGGAGAATGGAGGAGAAGGGATTGCGGCGTGGCCATCCCCCCTGGGGGGTGATTTCTCGCTTTCTGTCTCTCTGTCTCTCTCTGTCTGTCTGGTGAGCCCTGTAGCAAAAACCTCTCAAAAAAAACAAAAACAAAAACGAAAACCAAACCAAACAAAAAAAACATGTCTGGGAATTTACTAGGCATGACGGTGCAGAGATGAAAACTCTGCAGGCCCTGCTGCGGTCAAGTTCATGTCACTCCATCTTGACTAACTGCCGGGCACTGCCCTCCGTGCCTTCGCCTTTACAACCACCCTGTGCATCAGGGGTATGATTCCATTTTACAGACAAGGAAACCGAGACCTAAGAGAAGTGAAGTACCTTGTGAAAGGTTTACAGTTAGTAAGCGGCAGAGCTGGGACTCAAACCCTGATGATCTGGCTCCAGTATCAGGGCTCCCATTCTATACTCTTTTTTTTTTCTTTTTTAAAAATAATTTATTTAATTCCATTTGTTACTTTTTTTTTTAAATTAAGAATTATTTTAACTTTATTTTATTTATTCATTTGACCAAAGAGGAACAGAGTGAGAGAGAGAGAGAGAGAGAGAGAAAGGGAAAGTGAGAAAGCAAGTTGCCAGGTCCAGGACTTGAACCACAGTCAGCCACATGGGAGTCCAGCACCCTTAACCACCACGCTACCTGCCAGTCCCTAAAATAATTCTTTTAAAGAATGATTTTATTTCACTTGATTTATTTTAATTTGACCAGAGGAGATAGAGGGAGACAGAGAGAAAGCAAGCCACCAGGTCCAGGACTCGAACTGCGATCAGCCATGTGGGAGTCCAGCAACCCCAACCACCATGCCACCTGCCGGCCCCCTATTATTTTTTTCATTTGACCAGAGAGAAACAGAGAGAAAAAAAGGAAAACGGTTAAGTGAGAAAGCAAGCCACCAGGCCCAGGACTCAAACCGCAGTCGGCCACGTGGGAATCCAGCGCCTTTAACCACCACACCATCTGCCGGCCCTCTACCCTCCTTTTAATAACTGGTAACAAGATGGGCTTGTGAACCAGCAGTAACCAAAGTGTGATTCGAGGTCTGTGCCAACTAGCTGTGGGATGCTGAGGAGCAGGAGTGGATTCTGCTGCACCGGGGTTGGAGGGTGGGTCACAAAAGGCTCCCAGAGAAAGTGATACTTACGCTAGGCATTCAAGGGTAAGAAGAGTCCACATGTGAACCAGGACAGGAATGATATTGTGCAGCGAGAGAGCTGTACAAGAAAGCTCCAGAGAATGGGCTAGCAGGTGGTGAGATGATGCTGGCTGACTGCACAGTTCAAGTCCCGGGCCTGGCAGCTTGAAAATCATGCTGGGCACACGTGTGTGCGTGCCCACAGAGAACAATGAAGGAGAAGGGATTGTGGCATGGCCATCCCTACTGGGAGGCTTTTGCACTTTTCTTTCTGTCTCTGTCTGGTGAGAGCACATACTCTATAGCAAAACTAAAGAAAACGGGAAAAGAGTGGGGCTGGCAGGTGGCGTGGTGGTTAAGGACACTGGACTCCCACATGGCCGACTGTGGTTCGAGTCCCGGACCTGGAGGCTTGCTTTCTCTCTCTCTCTTGCTTTCTCTGTCTCTCCCCGGTCAAATTTAAAAATAAAAATAGAGAACCAGCAGTTAGCATAATAGCTATGTTGCTGGGCTTCCAAGTACTCAACCGCGGTTCGCGTCCCGGACCCGGTGGCTTAAACTCACGCCAGGCGCGTGTGCGTGCGTGCCCAAGATCCCGAGAGGAGAATGGAGAAGGGATTGCGGTGTGACCATCCCCCCTGGGGGGTGATTTCTCGCTTTCTGTCTCTCTGTCTCTCTCTGTCTGTCTGGCGAGCGCACGCGCCCTATAGCGAAAATCTCTCCAGAAAAAAAAAATAATAATAATAAAGTTAAATAAAATATTTCTTAAAAAAAAGAAAAAAGAAAGAAAGATAGACAAAGGGAAAAAAGAAAGCCTTGGAGCAATGAAAGCACGTATTTTTGGTAGCTGGCAGGAAGGTCAGGGTGGCCGGATTGCGAGCTGCACACCTGAACGGCACACTAAGGGCTTTATGCTGAAGGGACAGAGAATCTGGTTTGGGTGGTTTCCTAACCAGGAAAGAGTAGAAAGTACGATGATGAATGGACGGCGGTGGGAAGACCAGGTAAGAGGCAGGTGCTAACCAGGTAAGGAATGAGGAGGGAGGGCCTGAACTGAAAGCGGATAGAGCTCATTTGGAAAGAATATGGCGTGCTGGGGGCAGCTAGACCTTTGCGACAGCTCAGCGTCTGACCGTGAAAGGAGCTCCCTCTGGCCTGTACTGCTCAGAGACTAGATCAGACCAGAGACTTCCAAAGAGGCCGACCCGGAAGAACAGGTCATCAACATTCGGCATTGTGTCCGCCCTGAGCGGAAGATCACATTCTTCCAGCTGTCCAAGAAATTCTTTCTCTTTTCTGCCCAAGGGCTCATGCGCTCATCAGACGGAACAAGCACTCTCCCAATGGGACCCCGTCGTGCTGCAACCCTTTTTCCTCCATTTCTCTAGCCCATCGGGACTTGGGGCAATACACACGTGTACAAGCTCCCATTGTGTTTTTTGGGGGAAAGGTTTTTACTATAGGGCGTGTGCGTGCCAGAATGACAGAGACAGAGAGATAGAAAGTGAGAAATCACGCCCCAGGGTGGATGACCATGCTGCAATCCCTTCTCCTCCATTCTCCTCTCGGGATCTTGGGCACGCACGCACATGCGACCGGCGTGAGTTTTAAGCCACCGGGTCCGGGACGCGAACCACAGTCAACTATATGGGAGTCCAGTGACGTAGCCATTACGCCAACTGCTGGTCCTTCCCACTGTGTTTTGCAAACCACCAGGGGCAGGACTTAACTCACAGCTGGCCAGTAGGGATAAGGCTCCGTATGCACCGAGCGTAGCCATGTGGCCCCAATAAATTCATTCGGGCTCGTATTTCCCTTCTCAGCTAAGCGTGAAAACCTCCTCCACACCTGTACAAGGGCTTCCCCTTCGGTATATGTGCAAGTTTGCTGGGATGTTCCCTGTTGGAAAAGCCTCTGGAAAACCTTCTGTGGTACTCAAACGATCAAAGTGACTTGCCTAAGGCTACACAGTAAACGGCACTGGGAGGACCCAAATCTTTTATTTAAAAAAAAATTTTTTTTTTTTAGAATTATTTAACTTTATTTATTTTATTTATTTTAATTTGACCAGAGAGAGAGAGAGAGAGAGAGAGAGAGAGAGGGAAACTGAGAAAGCAAGCTGCCAAGTCCAGGTCTCGAACCGCGGTCGGCCATGTGGGAGTCCAATGCCCTTAAGCACCACACTACCTGCTGACACCAGAGGACCCAAATCTTGATCCTCCAGCTCCCAGTGGAGAATTCTTTATAGTGAAATACAGTAGTTCCCAACAAGGGTGTCACCAGTGGCTTCTGGTCACAAATGAGTGACATTCCCAGGGTCTGTTGGCTTGCCGTCGGAGAGGCCCTTGAGGTGCACACCCGGCTAGACCGGTCTGACTGTGAATTTGGGTAGCAGCTAATCCAGGCCCCAGGCACCATCACGCGCCCTCCATGACTGGATTCTCCATGACTACCCTGGGCTGTCACCCTCTGCCTCTGTTCAGTGGCTGAAGCAGTCACTTACCGTCATGGCTGTCTACAGCATGAGAATTACATTTCCTCTTTGGGCAAAATGCAATCTCCAAGATACCCTAATGCATTTCTTTCCCTTTTTAAAAATAATGATTTAATTGACTTATTTTTTTCATCCTTGCACAAGGGCCATGCTCATCAACTTTTCTGTATCATTCTGCTGAAGCGAGCGCCTATTAGTTTTTATTTTTCAATTTTTTTGCAGGTTTTTGCTATAGAGTGTGTGTGCTTGCCAGTCAGAAACAGAGAGACAGAAAGCGAGAAATCACCCCCCCGGGGGGATGGCCACGCCGCAATCCCTTCTCCTCCATTCTCCTCTCGGGATCTTGGGCACGCACGCACACGTGCCCGGTGTGAGTTTAAGCCACCGGGTCTGGGACTCGAACCGTGGTCGACTACATGAGAGTCCAGCACCATCGCCATTACGTCAACTGCTGGTCCTGAGCTCTTATTATTTTTTAATTTGACCAGAGACAGACAGACACAGAGAGAGAAAGCGAGAGAACAAGCCACCAGGTCTGGGACTTGAATGGCGGGGGGCCATGGAGGAGCCCTTTAATCACCACACCACCTGCCGGCCCCTCTTTTTATTTTTTTTATTGCCATGGGACATCTGTGCTCACCAGAGACAGAGAGAAAGGGGTTAGGAGATACCCCGCCACTCAGTGGGGCACGGTCGCATTTCTGTCCCATCAGGATTTGGGGCACGCACACACCCCGTGTACTTTCCAAGCTGCCAGGGCTAGGGCAGGGGCTGGGGCTGGAGCTGGGATTCAGACCCCAGGTTGCCATGAGGGGTTCAACCCTTTCACTCATTACGCTAAGAGGCCAAATCCCTCCACAGTTGATCTCTAATTTCTGGGTAATGGCACAATCGGAAATGAATCCTTTGGAAGTGTTGGGAAAACAACCACCACCACTGGCCCGACCCACACCGACGCCACACAAGGAACCCATTTACCACCACCCGGAGAGACTACGGCCTCTGTGAAGGACACAATCTGCCCTCAGTCCTCCAGAGCCTGTGCCAAGGCGTGCCCGAGAGTGACCCCGCTCCCGATGGCAGAGCACCCCACTGGGGGCTCGAATACAGAGCAAACGCCATCGGAGAGAGACGCAACATCGGCTGCAAATACATCAACGGCCCTGGTTTGCACGTGTCCCTAAAATACAGTTGTCACCACCCAGGAGCCAAAAGTGCCCCCTCCCCAAAAAAAACAATTAACAAGGCATTTAGCCTGATCCAAGTTTCCACTATCCCCTTTCTCACATCGCTCTGAAAACCGATGTCTCTAGAACACCCAAGAGAGGCTCAGAGGCTTTCAGAGAAAAATACATGAGCCAGAGCTTTGCAAAAGGACCTAATGACCTTTCAGTCTATCCGCCCCTTTTTATTTTTTAAACTTTATTCATTGTCATTATTTTTTATTTTAGTTTGTTTGTTTCTTTGTTTTTGTTTGTTTGTTTGTTTGACCAGAGAGAGAGAGAAAGTGAGAAAACAAGCTGTCAGGTCTAGGACTTGAACCACAGTCGAAGTCCAGCCGCTTCCACCACGCCACCTGCTGGTCCCATGCCCTTACTATTTTAAAAATTCTTTTTATTATTATAATTTTTTTGGAGAGGTTTTTGCTATAGCGCTCGTGGGCTCGCCAGAAAGAGAGAGACAGAGACAGAAAGTGAGAAATCACCCCCCAGGGGCGATGGCCACGCTGCAATCCCCTCTTGGGATCTTGGGCACGCATGCACACTTGCCCAGCGTGAATTTAAGCCACCAGGTCCGGGACTCAAACCGCGGTCGGCTACATGGGAGTTCAATGACATAGCCACTACGCTAACTGCTGGTTCCTGCCCTTTTCATTTTTTTAAGATTTTTGCCACAGCGCACTTGAGCTTGCCAGAGAGAGACAGCGACAGAGAGAAAGTGAGAAAGCATCCTCAGGAGGGATGACCATGCCACCATCCCTTCTCCTCCATTTCCCCCTCGGGATTTAAGGCCCACACGTTCAATGTGATTCTCAAGGTATCGGGTCGAAGACTCGAACTGTGGCCAATCACATGGGTATCCAATGCCTTAAGCCCCACGGCACCTGCTGGCCTCGTAATCTGCCTACTTTTGGACCTTTCTTTGCCTATTAGATTTTCTTCATGGTTCCCATAACGATAAACATCCCTACACACAGTTTCCAGCGGGCACTGCCATGCGTTGGCATGGGCGTGGCCATGGGCGTGGCCATGTGATCTTACTTTTGCTCCAGCTCTGGGAGGTCAGCAATACCATCCCCATTTTCGGAAGCAAAACGCAGATGCCACCAGATTTGAAGCATCCTCACCTCTCGCTCTCATCGGCCGCCTTTTCCGCCTCCTCCAGCTTCTGCAGGGCCGTGGCCAGTCGTTCTTGAGCCCTGTCCAACTCCTCCTCGACCAGCTGGATGCGTCGATTGAGAGCTGCCACATCCCCTTCAGCCTAGGGAGGTCAGAAGGATAACCAGGTTAGGAAGGAACAGGCTGGATAGGTGGCGTGGCGGTTAAGGGCACTGGACTCCCCTCTGGCCGACCGCGGTTCGAGTCACGGATGTGGAAGCTCACTCTCGCTCAATATTAAAATAATAATAATAAAGCTAAATAAAATAATTCTTTAAGAAAAAAAAAGAAGAAGAAGAAGAAGAAACAGACCCACCAACATCAAGAGCCTGTCGTGCCCTCCCTGGAGCGAACCCGATCTCCCTGCTAAAGTCTACCCAGGAATCCAGCCTGTGACGAATTCACACTCTCTTCTCTGGAGAATATAAAATGTCGCCACCACAGCAGGAGGTTAGTGGTTAGGGCACTCGACCCCCACATGGCTGACCGTGGTTCGAGCCCCAAACCTGGTGTCTTGCTCGCTCACGTTCTCTAACTATAGCAAGTTTAAAAAATAAGTAAAGGGCCCGCAGGTGGCGTGGTGGTTAAGGGCGCTGGACTCCCATATGGTCAACCACAGTTCCAAGTCCCAAACGTGACAGCTTGCTTTCTTACTTTCTCTCTCTCTCACTCTCGCTCTGTCCCTCTCTGGTCAAATTAAAATAAGTAAGTGGGTAAATAAAGCTAAATAAAATACCTTTTTATTCCTAAAAAAAAAAAAAAAAAAGTCTTATTGCCATAGTTTTACCTTATTTAAGCCTAACATATCTGTCACCCATTCTACAGATAGGAAAACTAAGGGGTCCAGCTATGAGATGTGGTTTTTCTGTGACTTCTTAGAGAGACCTCTTCAGTCCCCACCCAGGGCTCTTCCCTTTTTGAACTTGCCCTCAAGTCCTGTGCAGATGTCGAGGAAAGTTACCCTGGGACACCCACTCTTAGGAAGGAATATTAGGGACCTAAGGAAGGGGCACAGTGAAGGTGCAGCTAAAGAAAAGCTAGCTTCAGGGACCGACGGTTAGTGTAATGGCTATGTTGCTGGACTCCCACGTAGTCGACCGCAGTTCACGTCCTGGACCTGGTGGCTTAAAACTCACGCTGGGTGTGTGTGCGTGCGTGCCCAAGAGCCCGCGAGGAGAATGGATGAGAAGGGATTGCGGCGTGGCCATCCCTCCTGGGGGGTGATTTCTCGCTTCCTGTCTCTCTGTCTCTCTCTGTCTTTCTGGCGAGCGCACACGCCCTATAGCAAAAACCTCTCCAAAAAAAAAAAAAAGAAAAAGAAAAGCTAGCTTCTTCCTATCAGGACAAAGAAACACCAGGGCCAGATAATAGTACAGTGATGATGCAACTGGATCCACATGGGAAGGTCTCAGGTTCACTTCTCGCTGGCCCCTCTGTATACATCGGGCCCTTGTACGCCCCTGATCCTGGCCATCTGAAGCTGGGGGTGGATCGCTGTATGGAGACCCTGTTGGGGATGCAGTCTCTGTCTCCCTCACTGAAGAAACAAATGAATACGCTTAAGAAACCACTGGGCTTGGCCCTGTAGCACAGTGATTAAGGGAGCCGAATCCCACATGGCCAACCAAGGTTCGAATCCCAGTCCTGGCGACTTGAAATACATGCTGGGGGTGTATGGGGGAAGTGCTTGGAATTTTCATGGGATAAAGAAAGAAATGGAGGGAAACAGATTGAGGCATAATGATCCCGAATGGGGGTGCTTTCTCTCTCTCTCCGGCAGATGCATGAACTTTCTGGCAAAACAATAAATACATCTGGAAGCCATCAGGTGGCATGGTAATTAAGGCACTGGACTCCCACATAGACGACTGCAGTTCAAGCCCCAGACCCAGGCTTGAGAATCACACCAGGCACATGTGCGTGCAGGCCCAGATTCCTGAGAGGAGACTGGACAAGGGACTGTAGCGTGGCCATCTCCCCTGGGGGGCGATTTCTCACTTCCCTCTCTCTCTCTTTGCACACAAGTGCACTATGGGAAAAGAAAAAAGATAAAAGAAAAACCAAAAACAAAAAAACAAAAAAAAAACCCGAAAAGAATTAAAGACTACTCCTTGTTCTGCTCTCAGTTTACCAAGTAAAAAAAAAAAAAAAAAAGAAGCAGCAGCTATCGTGGCTGAAAAACAGAATCAGGAAGCTTTCTCAACGCAACCTCTACAAGTGAACATAATGAAGAGTCCAACAAGTGAACATAATGAAGAGTCCACAGGTGTTACTCCTAACAACGTCCCCCTGAAACACCAACGTGGAGAAAAGCCATTAAAACCACTGATGGAGGGACCAGCAGTTGGCATAATGGCGTAATGGCTATGTCGCTGGACTCCCACGTAGTCGACCGCAGTTTGAGCCCCGGACCCGGTGGCTGGAACTCACGCTGGGCGCATGTGCGTGCGTGCCCAAGATCCCAAGAGGAGAATGGAGGAGAAGGGATTGCGGTGTGGCCATCCCCCTGGGGGTGATTTCTCGCTTTCTAGTTCTCTGGCAAGCGCATGCTCCCCTATAGCAAAAACCTCTCCAAAAAAAAACCACTGATGGAGAGAGTAGGCACCGGCAGGTGACGTGGTGGTTAAGGGGATATGGACTCCCACATGGCTGACTGTAGTTCGAGTCCTGGACCTGGTGGCTTCCTTTCTCACTTTCCCTCTGTCCCTCTATGGTAAAATAAAAGTAAACAAAGTTAAATAAAATCTTAAAAAACAATAACAACAAAAACACTGATGGGGCATGACAGTAGATGGCTTAGAAGTTAAGGCACCGGTTAACGGCCAACTCTGTAGTTTGAGTCCGGGACTCAGCAACCTGAAAAACACACAGAATGCAGATGTGTGTCCAAAATCCTGAAAGGAGAATGAAGGGGGGATTACGGTGTTGCCACCTCCCTTCCCCTAGGGACTTTCTCATTTTCCCTCTGTCTCCCTTCAGCCAGGGAACATTCCCCCTGTGGCCAAAAACAAAAACAAAAACCAAACAAACAAACAAACAAAACCCACAGATGAACTATCTTAAGAAAGGTCACCCAGCCTTTCTAGTGAAGGGGGTCCCTTTACTCTCTCCTAACTCACTGTCCTACGAACACCACTCTCTAATTCCAGAATATTGTCATCATCCCCAAAGAGAAACCCTGTACCCATGAGTAGCCGAGGAAGTGATGTTTTTAATAAGAAGTATTTATTTCATTTTATTATTATTTCTTAAAGAATTATTTTATGTAACTGGATGTATTCATTTACTTTGTTTCCCCTAATTTGACCAGAAAGGGACAGAGCAAGAAAAGACAGACCAAGAGGGAAAGTGAGAAAGCAAGCCGCCAGGTCCAGGACTAGAACCGCAGTCAGCCAAGTGGAGAGTCCAGTGCCCTTAATCATCATGCCACCACTGGTCCCTATTATTATTTTATAGTTTGCTACAGAGTACATGCACTCACCAGAGAGAGACAGAGACAGAGAGAAAGCAAGTCACCAGGTTTGGGACTCAAACCATGGTCAGCCATGTTGGAGTCCGGCACCTCCACCATACCACCTGCTGACCTCAAGGAAGTGATTATTTTTAAAAGAATTATTTCATTAAACTTTATCTATTATTAATATTTTTTCATGACTTTAACTTACTTTATTTATTTATTTAAATTTAACCAGAAAGGGACAGAGTGGGAGAGAGAGAGAGGGAAAGTGAGAAAGCAAACCACCAGGTCTGGGATTCGAACTGTAGTCAGCCATGTGGGAGTCTAGCATGCTTAACCACCATGCCACCTGCCAGCCCCAATTTATTATTATTATTTTATTTTTAATTTGACCAGTCAAAGACAGAGAGAGAGAAAGTGAGAAAGCAAGCTGCCAGGTCTTAGACTCAAACCGCCATCAGCCATGTGGGAGTCTAGCGTATTTAACCACTATACCACCAGCCAGCTCCAAGAATGTGATTTTTAGGATCCTACAGAGGTGCTTAATTTGTGAGTTGTGGGTTTTTTTTTTTTTTGCTTTTCTTTTTTTTTTTTTTTTTTTATGTGGCTGCTTTTCTTTTTTTTTTTTTTTTGCTAAGGGGCATGCTAGAGAGAGCAGAGAGAAAGAGAGAAAAAAGAGAAATCCCCCCATGAGGGATGGTCATGCTGTAATCCTATCTCCTCTATTTCTCCATCTTTTCAGGATTTGGGGCACACAGGCATACACGCCCAGAGAGTTTCTCAACCTGCTGGATCCGGGATTCAAACCATACAGTCAGTCATTGTGGAATCCAGCTGCCTTAACCACTATGCCATAGACCTAGCACCAAGATCTGTCTTTGAAAAATTAAAAAATAAAATAAAATTAAAAAGTGAGCAGTTCCTAGTGTGGAAAATTCCGAATGCCAGCAACCATTGCTTTTTGGTAGTTTGCAACCCTCTGGAATGGAAAGAGCCCTGAGCTACACACACACCTATGTCTATACCACCCGGTGTCTACGTATTTTTGAAAAACTGCTAGTCACTGCTAGTCATTTGGGGCTCCACCCCTTCCTGCAATCAAAGCCGGCCACAGGCTACAAAGGATTTCCCTTATAAGGTAAAACAGGCTTGCTAGATACATGTGGCAAAGGAACAGGAAGAAGCCGGTTAATCACACAAAAATCTAAATGAAACCAGCTGTCGGGAAGGCAGGCCCAGAGCTCTGCCACACGCGCCTCTGGGCTTTTTTTTTTTCCCTCCTCTACAAGAAACTAAGAGCATTTTTCCCTCCCCCTCTGGTCTCAGTTCCTCAGTCCTGGAACCATCTTAAGACACTCCCTTTCCTGACTGAGAGAAGCATGCTTTTTGCTTTTGCACAGCGAACTTTTTCAGAAGTCTGAAACTTTCCAAAATCCATCTTCCCTCCAACGAGAGACTCTCCATGCCTAAGTCTTGGCTCCCGGCTGAGGGCCATTTTTGAAGCAGAAGTCATTGTCCTCCAGCGAGATGACTTGGGATGAGATCAGAGGAGCGTTACGTGTGTGAGAAAAGAGGCCAGACCAGCTACCGTTTGAGGCTCTCACCAGATTCCTAATGCCTCTCCACGCCAAAGCAGCCCGAGCGGGATTAAAGGCTGCAACCCCAGCCAAAGCTGCAAAGCTGCAGCGGTAGGTTGGAGCAACCAGCTCCTGCCCGTGTGCTTACCGGATGATTCAATGCACACCATCCGCTTCACCTACGCTGGGGCACCGTTTGCATTTGTGGGGTCCCTCCCCAAGTCCCAACAAGCCAGCTTTTAGGGGCTCGGGGCTTCCACCTCATCCCCACCCCCAAACCAGCTCAGTCTTCGGAAGTCTGGCCCGCCCTGGTCTCTCCTCCCAGCAAACTTTGGAAGACTGCTCAACTTTCATTTTCAAGCTTCCCCCGTCCCCTCTAGCTGAGGCTGCCCGGTCCTGTGCGCTGAACAGGGCACAGAAAGCCCCAGGAATGCTAATCACACCCCATGAGTCTTATTTGTGTCGGTGCTCCCCACTTCCCTGCCCTGCCTCCAATAGACTGAATTCTTCCCAGGATAGAAACAGGAGGGGAAAAAAAAAAAAAAAACCACACACACACACACACACACAAATTGAGCACCTACTAAGTGCCAGAGTCCTTGCTGGGAGATTTTACTCCTGCGGCCCTGCCAGCTCTCTAAGGTATTATTATCACGCCTACTTTACAGATGGGGAAACCAGCTCCCCCAAATTAAGTACCAAGTCGTTGAGCAAGTAAAGGGCCAGAGATGGGATCCGAACGCGGATCCGCACCCGGCCCCAGGCGTTGTCTGTCCCAGGGACAGTCAGCGGACGGTGAGGCTCTCTGCTCTTTAGACCTATTATCTGGGTCGGCTCCCAGCCCCCCGCGACACACACCGAGAGGTCCCCGGATCGCGGGTCGCGGGCCCCAGTGCAAACATTCCAGGGGCCTCCGGGAGGAAGGCGGGGTCCAGCGGCCCTCGTTCGCCCGAGGACCAGCTGGAAAGAGAAAGGCCGGCGGCCAGGACTGAACTTCCGCCCCCCGCCTGGAGCAGACACGTCGCCGCCGCGCCCCTGGGAACGGCTGGGAAAGT